CCACCTTGGCCTCCCAGAGGGCTAGGATTACAGGCGTGAGCCACTGCGCCCAGCCTTTACTGTTTTTTTAAATACCCCATTATATCGGGAAATTACTTAACCTTCTGTGAAATGGGATAACAGTATTTACTGCATAGGTTGTTGAGAAGATCAAATGAGCCATAGTAAGTGATATGTAAATGTTAGCTTTAATATTTCCTGCCCTGGGGGAATTCCTTCACGTGTCTTGGCTTTAGCTACTGCCTGTACGCTGATGGATCCCCAGATCTCCGCCTTCAGCCCAGACTTGTGTAGTCAGCAGCCTGTTGGTCATGAATACTTGGGTGACCCACAGGCACACCGTATTTAATTTATCTATGCTTTCTCTACCACCTGTAATTACTTAGCATAGTGGTGCACCTATAGCCAACTAGCCTTACTGAGTTAGAAAACTCACTTGGGATCTATATTTTCAACTGCCTTCTGCATATAGGCAGCAGGATATCTCATTGACTCCTCAGCTTAATGTTTATAAATTTATCTCATCTCTCTTATCTCTTCCCTCTTCATTAATTTATCTATTCATTTAATAAACATGTTATTTGAGCCTGCCTTGGGGCCTTTAATGTTTTTGTGTTTGTGTGTGAGCTCATTATTCTCCCTTGTAGTCTTTCCTTTCCCTAGCACATCCTCCCCCATTATTTCCTGAGTTACCTTCCTAAAGACAAATATCAGTTGACCTCTTGTTTAAAAGCCTATATTAGCTCCTTGTTTATGAGATGAGTTCCAAACTCCTTACAGTGGCCCCTTAAGGCCCTTGACCTATCTTTTTCCTTTTCTTCCTTTATGATTTAACCTTGGCCGCTTTTGGTGGGTCACGCCTGTAATCCTAGCACCCTGGGAGGCTGAGGTGGGAGGATCGCTTTAGGTGAGGAGTTTGAGACCAGCCTGAGCAAAAGTGAGACCCTGTCTCTTAAAAAAAAAAAAAAAAAGATTTAACCTAGAGTTTTACCTTCAGGAAACCTTTCCTAATTGCTCCTAAATTCTGTTGGGCACCAGGCTTGTGTTCCCTTCATGTTTTACATTCATCTCAGTCACTGTTCTCTGATACCACTGGGTGTTACAGTTATGTTTCTGTGTCTTTTTCCCCTACTAGCTTTCCATTCCTTGAGAGCACAGATTGTTGCGATCAT